AGGCACAGTAAAAAATACAGTATTATAATCTTATGGGACCACTGTTGTGTATGCAGTTTGTTCTTGACTGACAAGTCTTTATGCAGCACATGACTGTATAAGGAGCTCAGACAATGTGATAACAAAAAAACAACCCAATTAAAAAATGGGCAAAGGATCTGAATAAACATTTCTCAAAAGAAGACATACACATGTCCCATAGGTATATGAAAAGGTGCTCAACATCACTAATCATCAGGGCAATGCAAATCAAAACCACATAATACATGATCTCACACCTGTTAGAATAGCTATTATCAAAAAGCCAAAAGATAACTTACAAGTATTGGTAAAGATGTGGAGAAAAGAGAACTCTGGTACAGTGTTGGTGGGAATGTAAATTGGTACAGTCATGGAAAACAGTATGGAGATTCCCCCAAAATTAATAATAGAACAATTACATGATCCAGCAATCCCATTTCTGAGTATGTATCCAGAGAAATTGAAATTGATATGTCAAAGAGATATCTGCACTCCTGTGTTCATTGCAGTATTATTCACAATAGCCAAAATATGGAACCAACCTAAATGTCCGTTAGCAGATGAATGGATAAAGAAAATGTGGTTTATATACACAATGGAATACTATTCAGCCTTACATTTACAGCAGCATGGATGAATGTGGAGATCATTATCCTCAGTGAAATAAGCTAGATACAGAAAGACAAATGCTACTGTACAGTTTCACTTATCTGTGAAATCTTAACTGAACTCATAGAAGCAAAAAGTAGAAGAATGGTTGCTGAGGTGCAGGGGAAGTGTTGGGTCAGTAGGTACAAAGCTTTGGTTATCTAGAACAGGGGTAACCAAACCCCGGGCTGCTGACCAGTACTGGTTCGTGGTCTGTTAGGAACCAGGCCACAGCAGAAGGTGGGCAGCAGGCAAGTGAGCATTACTGCATGAGGTCTGTCTCCTGTCAGATCATCGGCAGCATTAGATTCTCATAGGTGCGTGAACCCTATTTGTGAACTGCGCATGTGAAGGATCTAGGTTGTGTGCTCCTACTGAGAATCTAATGCCTGATGATCTGAGGTGGAACAGTTTCATCCCAAAACCTTTCCCCATTCATGTTCATGGAAAGATTGTCTTCCACAAAACTAGTCGCTGGTGCCAAATAGGTTAGGAACCCACTAATGGAGAGAGAATAAGTTCTGGAGATCTAATGTACAGCATGAGGACTGTAGTTGACTGTAGTTAATAAGACTAGATTGTATGCTTGAATTTTTCTAAGAGAGTGGATCTTTTTTTATTTTATTATTTACTTTTTTTTTTTTTTTTTTGAGATGGAGTCTCGCTCTATCACCCAGGCTGTAGTGAGGTGGCGCAATCTTGGCTCACTGCATTCTCCACCTCCCGGCTCAAGCGATTCTCCTGCCTCAGCCTCCTGAGTAGCTGGGATTACAGGCGCCCACCATCTTGCCCAGCTAATTTTTATATTTTTAGTAGAGGCAGTGTTTTGCCTTGTTGGCCAGGCTGGTCTCAAACTCCTGACCTCAAGTGATCTGCCTGCCTTGGCCTCCTGTAGTGCTAGGATTACAAGCTTGAGCCACCATGTCTCAAGAGAGTGAGACATGAGAGAGTGAATCTTAAATGTTCTTACCATACAAATACATAAGAACTAACTAACTTTGTGAGATGATGGATATGTGAATTAGCATGATAGCTTGATAATAATTTCATTTTATATATGTATGTATTAAAACATGTACACCTCAAGTATATGCAATTTAAATTTGTCAATTATACCTCAGTACTGCTGGTGGAAGATTGATTGTAAAGTATATATGGAAATTCAAAGGTTCAGGAATAGCTGAAGAAGACAATGGGAGTTGGGGACATAAGCATTTGCCCTAACAGATGTCAGGATATACTATATTCTTTGGACAGTGTATGATTCTTGCAGTTTTAGACATATCTACCAATGAAACAGAATGAAGAACCCAGAAATACCTCCTTGTTTTTACAGAATTCTGATATGTGTATGACAGAGATGGCATTGTAAGTTGAAGAAATGAGGGACTGTTTAATAATTGGAGCTGCAAAATTGGTCACCAGTTTGGGGGAAAAAAATGAAATCAGGCCCCTTACACCATTTACAAAAATCCTTATGACTCAAGGGCTTAAATGTGAAATGAAAAACTTCAGTTTTTTAGAAGGAAAAATATATGTGAATATCTCTCTGGTTTGGCTGAATAGATTTCTGGCTTGGGATAAGTAAGAATTTTTTAGATAAGATACAGAAAGCTCCAACAATGAAAGAAAAGATAATAAATTTTGTCATGTTAAAGTAAGAATTTCTGTTCATCAAAAGATATCTTAAAATTGAAAAGAGGGTGCAGTGCGGGGGGGAGATACATACAACAGTTGTCCAACTAGAATGTGTCCAACACAAGAATTTGTATCCAGAATATATAAAGAACTCTAACAAAGAAAAAAGAAAAAAAAATAGAAAAATTAACATTATAAAAGTATTTTGGAGAGGAGAGGATACACATAGAAGCAGTGAAAATGAATGAACTATGGCTTCCCGCAACTTCGTGGATGAAGCTTTAATATCACAATGTTAATGAACAAAGTAATTGCCAAAGACTAAAAATGAAATAAAAGTTAAAAGGGAATAAAATTTGCCAAAATGAAATAAAATTTGAGGGGAATGATAAACAGAACATTCAGAGTAGTGGTTACTGGTTACCTCTTAAAGGCAGTCAAGGCAATTGGATGGAAAGTGAGTCATGTGTATTCGTTATAAAGTTTAAATCCATTTAACAAAGCCATACCAGGCTCTAATGATAATTGAGTGTCACAAACAAAAGATTATAATTAATCTGCACCCCAGGTCTAAGATGAAGTATTCATTTATGCAGATACACACATTCATACATATTGTGTGAAGATACAAATCAAGGTGATGAGGAATAATCTGGGAGTTTGTGTTTCCTGGGGTGACTGACATGAGCAGGCATTCATCTAGGTTTTCCCCCAAAACAGATTGTGGTGGTAAGGTGGTGTCAGATATCTGGTCAGGAACATCTAGAATTCTGTGTGTCTCCTATTTCGTTAATACCAATGAAAGTGTGAAGAGCCTTGCCCACATTTGTCATGCTCTTGGTGCCAAGGACATGTGGAGTTAGAATACGTGAAGTGTTTTGTCCCCCCCTGCCCTCAGCATTTTTTGGAGGGGAAGATATAGTAAAGTGACTTTATAAAGATAACATTATAAATATCAAAAGAAAATTTGAAAAGAAGAAAGAAAATCAGTACTTCTCAGTTAATAGAGTTTCTGAGCTATCACTCAGGAAATACCTATATTAACATCTAATGAGTTCTTTACATACATATTCTTCCTCTAGTCTTCTGGAAACAAGTCTCTCCTACTACAGCTCGGATTGAATTCTATTTATCTGATTATTGATTTATTATGAAAATTACAAAATCATGTTATTTTTTATGTGTTAGACCATATAGTTTGTTACAACAGTTCTGTGTTTCAGCTGTGGCAAGATTAGTTACGAGTTCCAAGTAATTTGTTTCTCCTGATATTGTGCCAAAGTTGTTGAATGATTGACTTGGGGAAAAAAAAAAAAGGCAGGTTTATCATTATCCCTGTGTCCCATAGCTATATTTTACATATCCAAATACTTCCTTAAGTGGGAAAGAGATAGTTAGATTTACAGGCAACAAGCAAACATTTGCATCTAATCTTGAGGCTGCTAATCAAGTATGTTAAAAGTGAAGTAAGAGAAACTTGTAATACCACTGTTTTAGACCGTGGAATATCCATCTAAAACATTAAAGCAAAGGACCCCTTGACATTGTATTTTGAAGAGGGAGCAATACTGTTGAAACATTTTTCTGAAGATAATCTGCATCTTTGAGCCTCTGAACAATAGATCCCAACTGTACTACTAATAATACTAGAAAGAGTAGTGGATTAGGTGTCAGAATACTCTTATCTCCAGAACCAGACTATAAGACCCTGAAAAACAAGGACATACATCTTTGTGAGTGAGTAAGAGAGAGTATTGTATTCCACTACTTGCTAACCTTGTGATCTCAGTCTCCTTATTTCTAAATTAATACTCATACTTTTTTGTTAATCTCATAGGAAAATTAGATGAGACTTATATAGGTGGAAATGTTTTGCATGCTGTAAAACAACACCAATATTTTAATATGAAATAAAGTGAAATCTTATTTAGTAATGAAATGGAAACTTCATATGTTTAAATAAAAAAAATAATTTTTTCAGTCTTTGGAATGATTTGAAAAACTATTTCCTGAACCTTTTAGTGAACACCATTGTGGGTGACCGACTGCTTTTTTTTTTTTTTTTTTAAACTCCCCTTGATTATTTACATTGATCTCATAGGGCACTTACTACAAATCTACCTCTCAAGTGTCTTATAACAGTATCTTTTAGTTATGCTGTATGTTATATAGCACTGATCAAAGAGAAGAAAATGTCAGAAATCAAAAAATGTAAGGAATTACAGAATTTTAAAGTTATTAGGACTAGCCATGACTAGATTTATCAAGAAAAAGGGTTAATCACAAAATTTGGTGTTTATTTCTTAATGATTATGCAAGAATGATCTTTATCTTTGAGGTGGCAAGGGACAGTTCATTAAAATACTTGGACATTTGAGCTAAATATGAATGCATAATTTTCCAAAATTAGGAAGGTGATTAATAAAAATTGATTACTTTAAAATAGTAAACATGAAAATGTTATAATTTTTTACTTAATTTTATGAACATACAAAGGATATCTTACAAATAATGAATTTGGATTAATAGACCAATCTGATTTTGTTTTATTTATATACTACAAAGATATAATTAAAGAAGATATAACTTTGAAATTAAAATCCATATTCACAGTAAATGCAACTTCAGTTCAGGTCTTTGCTACAACAAAATGAGATTTGTAAATAACTTAGGTTTTTCTGTTTGTTTTTTAGTTATTAAGTCGAAAAGACAAAACTACCTTTGAAAAATTAGAATATGTAATGAGTAAAGAAGATAACTACAAAAGACTCAGAGACTATATAAGTAGCTTAAAGATGACACCTTGCATTCCCTATTTAGGTGAGTTATGTCACTGTGTGTTTTTTGTTTCTAGTTGTTCCTCTTCCTTAATCAGTAATTTATGTGAAATTCAAGGTATTTTTTAAATGTTTGTATCCTTTGGTAAGCTGAAAAAAATTGACTAAAGATAGTTGTTACCCTGTTACCTGGAATGTATTTTCATATTAGTCTTTTGCCCTAAAGGTTTTTCATAGTCTATTATGTTTTCTTAGAGTAGGACTATATAGTAAAACAATATTTTTTAACTGTTTTAGTAATGCTTTTAAAGAATATAATAGTTTGTAATGATGTTTAATACATTAAGGAAATTGATCAAAGTCTTTATATATAGTGAGGAGATATTTTAGTGTGAATTCTGAAGTAGTCTCAATGCATATTGGTATTGTTTACCAGAATGAAATCAGTTGATTCGCTGTCGCAATTTAGCTTCGTGCTGAGACAGTTCTGTATTTCGCATCTCATCTAATTAAGAATTTATCTCTTTATTATATATCTGACAGCTTATAAGTTCAAGAAGTATTTAACCAATAACATTGTAAGATTATTTTTAACGAAATAAGAATAATGCTTTGTTAGGTGTTTGAATGAAAAGAAGACCCAAATAAATTGTTCTTTTAAATAGATATGTAAATAAGCCATAAGGAAAATATATGATACATACCTAGTATATATTGAAATGAAATGATTTGATCCTATGTAGAGAGTAATCAAATGATGAAGATTTGGTGTTTTCTGGTCCTCCCCCAGATTTTGTGTTTTATGAAATTACACTGAATTTCAAGATAGCTATTTCTGAGAGTGATTACAGTGTCACCTTGAAGTCTTTACAGTCTCAGTGACTAGAAGACAAAGAAGAGACAAAGGCAGTTGATACATGCCCATTTAGCTACTATAGAATGTCAACCTTACTTTCCCAGAGAAGAGTTTAACTCTTTAGAATATTGTGGGACACCCTAGGATTGCAGAGAATGGGGACCTATTGTGTACCTTGTGTTGAAGGCAGAATACCCCTAAGCACAGTAAAGTTAATGGCCACTGCATCCCAGAATATTTTATCCTGTTTCTTTAGTAAACAACTTAGGACCATAGTAAGCATGACTCTTATCAGAGAGGCTCTAAGCTGGCTATTAGGAGAAAGACATTCTGTATGCGCTTTACATTTTTGTGTTGTTGCTGTCATTCTTTGTTTTGTTTTGTTTGTTTTTTGAGACAGTCTCGCTCTGTTTCCCAGGCTGGAGCACAGAGGTGCGATCTGTTCACTGCAGCCTCTGCCTTCCAAGTTCAAGTGATTCTCCTGCTTCAGCCTCCCAAGTAACTGGGATTACAGGCGTGCACCACCACGCCCAGCTAATTTTTGTATTTCTAATAGAGACAGGGTTTTGCCATGTTGGCCAAGCTGGTCTTGAACTCCTGGCCTCAAGTGATTCGCCCGTCTCAGCCTCCCAAAGTGCTGGGATTATAGGCATGAGCCACCACACCCAGTGTGGTGCTCTGTGTTTTACCATAGCCTTGGCTGTGCCCATGCTTGCAAATATAATTCAAGGAGAGAAGGAATAGGGAATATTTTCAAAAATAATGCCTTCACAATTCAGAAGAATGTATACTTTTTATAGTGTGAAGAATATTTAGACTGAGAATTGGCAATCCTCAATTCCACAGTGACTCTACAGTCCTAATTTTTCAAGTCATTGAATTTTCTTCTTTGAGCCTTGTTCTCTACCTAGAAATAGCATGCATAGGCCGGTCGCGGTGGCTCACGCCTGTGATCCCAGCACTTTGGGAGGCCGAGGCAGGTGGATCACCAGGTCAGGAGATCGAGACCATGGTGAAACCCCGTCTCTACTAAAAATACAAAAAAAAATTAGCCAGATGTGGTGGCAGGCACCTGTAGTCCCAGCTACTTGGGAGGCTGAAGCAGGAGAATGGCGTGAACCCAGGAGGCGGAGCTTGTGGTGAGCCGAGATCGTGCCACTGCACTCCAGCCTGGGCGACAGAGCAAGACTCTGTCTCAAAAAACAAACAAAAAAAAGAAATAGCATGCATAGGACTAGAATCATGTTCTTCTTAAGGCTGGATGAGAGCATTGTGGTATCTTCTTTTTTTTTTTTTTTTTTTTTTTTGCGACCCAGTCACTCTTGTTGTCCAGGCTGGATTGCAGTGGCACGGTCTCAGCTTACTGCCACCTCCACCTCCTGGGTTCAAGTGATTCTGCTGCCTCAGCCTCCCATGTAACTGGGATTACAGGCGTGCACCACCACACCCAGCTAATTTTTGTGTTTTTAGTAGAGAGGGGGTTTTGCTATGTTGGCCAGGCTAGTCTTGAATCCCTGACCTCAAGTGATCCGCCCACCTCAGCCTCCCAAAGTGCCGGGATTATAGGCATGAGCGATCACACCCAGCTGTAGTGATGTCTTCTAATTAACTTATTTTAATATTGAGAAAACCAAGATCCAGAAAGATGGAAGACCTGGCTCATAGTCCTAAGACCTAGTTACTGACAGGTCTGCATTCTGAAGTCTTAACCTAGAGAGCTCTAATTATACCTGCTGAACTCTCATTTTAAAATTTACCAATTTTATGATTGCTTTCCTTTTCTCATTGAAATATGTTTTTCTCAAACTAAATTTCATAATTCATATCTTCTGGAAAAGAATTAAGATTATTTTCCTTTCAAAATGAGAAAATAAAATAATAGGAATCCTTATGCTGTTATTTCTAGTTGGGGAACTTCTTGTACTCTTGGACCTTCTTGACATTTTTCCACAGTGGAGACATCAGTACAGGATTGAAGCTGTGTGCATCTGTATATGTGCTTAGGTACACTCAGGCACTCTCATGCACACACACAGAGAAAGTTGGGGAAGAAAGCACTAGCCAAGTTGGAGTTCAGTGGAATCAGGAAAGGTTTTCTATTGGAGAATATACCTCTTCTTTCTCAGCCCTGGTACCTGAAACAAAAAGTAATCATACCTGTGGGTTAAAGCAAATGAGGAAAATGTTGAGGTACAGATGTTAATCTGGAGAAAATATTACAAGCATTGTTTTTCCTGTATCTTCCATTTTTCCTGTCATCTCCAATGACTCCTTCTTTTTTCAGTTCCCTTTCATTTTATATGTTCTCATGATGCAGAATCTTATGTTTCACTCTTGCCATGTAGTTCTGCTTCACTTTATAATTAAGCTAATTTAAAAGTATCCTATTCTTCTTGTCTCCTTTTTCTCCATCTTTACTCTCTAGAAATTTTCCTGTCACCAGTGACTTCCTGGTTGAAACATTTAATAGGTGTTTCTCAAGCCCCATCTTAATTGTGTGAGAGTTGGTGTCGGTTATTTCTCCTCCTTGAAATTCTCCCCAAGTAGCACCAGTCTTTCTTGGCTTCCCTTCTGCATTTCTGGCTTTTGTTTTATTGGCTGCTCTTACTCTACCTTCATCCTTTAAATGTATTCTTGAGAGGTGTCAGTCCACTTTTCTTTCTTTCTTTTTTTTTTTTGTTTTTGTTTTTGTTTTTCGGAGACTCTGTCATCCAGGCTGGAGTGCAGTGGCACAGTCAGCTCACTGCAGCTTCAAACTCCTGGGCTCAAGCAATCCTCCCACCTCAGCCTCTGGAGTCGCCGAGACTACAGGTGTGTACCACCAAGCACGGCTAATTTAAAAAAATTTTTTGTCGACATGGGGTCTCGCCATTTGCCCAGGCTGATCTCAAACTCCTGGCCTCAAGCAGTCTTCCCACTTCAGCCTCCCAAAGTGCTGGGATTACAGGTGTGAGCCACTGGGCTCAGCCAGTCCACTTCTTTTCTTACTCTATACAATCGGAGTGATCTCATCAGGTGTTTTATATATATTCCCTGATCTTCCAAATCTAGACTAAATCTGTCTAACTTTGTATATCATTGTATATTTTATATCTATCTTTGTATCTTAGCTATCTACTTAATCCCTGGGGCCTTCTAACATTTTTAGATACTAAGTGAGAAAAATCTACAGGTATCTTCCATTCATTATGTGCAGAAGGGAATTCATCATCTCTCCTCCTTCCCCCAAACTTGATCCCCATCTTATTTCCTATAGCTTACTCTACCAGTGACCAGTGAGTGTAGTATTATTAACACTGCGGTACCACACTACAGCCTGGTGTTTTAATGCATTTCTCCTTCCTCCTCCTCTGCTTCTCATATTCACTAGTAAAATGCATGTGTCTGAGGGTTATCCAAGAATTAGAAATCAAAAGGGAAAAAAAACGGAAGGAAATTACGACATTAAAAGAGAACATACACTATAGAATTTGCATAATTTTAGATATTGGTATTCTTCATATAGCTCATCCCTATCTGGGTATGTGCAGAAGCATCTTGATTGTGAGATTATTGGGGACTCCTTGGCATAAGTATTTGGTAGACATGGGAATGGAAAATGAAACATTTATCAGATGAGTTTTTATGATTCAGTTCATTTCCGGTATGAAAATCATCCTTTTAATGTAATGACCGCTTTGCCTTATAGCAAACCTTGAGATTAAATGTATTTAATCTATTAAAATATACATAGTTTTCCTAAGAAAATGTGACACAAATCTGTTTTACAACTTTTTTACTGCTTGATTTACATCATCTACATACGGGTTTTTTTATTGCTTATCTTCAGTACTGAAGTATACTGAAGAATGAAGATTTAACAGTAGTTTATATCTTGTTAATATTTACTTTTTTATATTGTTTTCTAATTTAAAATTAATTTGCTTGTGATTTTTAAATTTAATTTGTCTTGATTTCAGAATCCTTTTCTATTTGTGTGAAGCTAGGCTTAGTACAGTTGACAAAAACTTCAGCATTTATAAATGCTGTGCATTTGATAGGTTAGAAGTTGCCCTAAAGACAATTAAAAGATAATACTCATTATGCATATTGGTAGCTTCATTTAACTATTCCTCTTCAAGTATACAGAGTTTGCATAATGCTATGCTTTATTCATTATGTCTGCAGAGGTTCTTATGGAAAGAATA